ACCCGCCCCTCCCCCACCTCTCCTCAGCCGCCGCCATCGCGTTGCCACGGCAACGCGGGGATTTGCCGCCCGGAAGTGACGCTCTCCGTGTAGCCACGCCCATCAGCGCTCTAAACCAATGAGCTCCGAGATATTCCCTGGCCACGCCCCCCTTGCCAGGACTCCGCCATCTTTGTAGTTCCGCGGCTGGCGGCGTCGCCGCGCGCGCCGCACGTACGGGTGACGTCACCGCGCCGCGCCTGCGCGCTGCCCCTTTCCGCCTTGGAGACGCCGCGGTGAGGCCGCGCTCGAGGGGTCCGGCGGCGCATGCAGTACAACCGGCGCTTCGTCAACGTCGTGCCCACCTTCGGCAAGAAGAAGGGGCCCAACGCCAACTCCTGAGCCCAATAAAGGAATCTGGGCTCAATTCCCGCCATTTTGGGGCGTTTTGAGCTGTTTTTGACGCTTTCCTTGAGTTGTTTGACTTTGTTTTAGTGTTGGTTGTGAAGTGTTGGGAGTGGTTTGGGGGTGAAATTGGCCCAGAAGGGGTTAACAGGGCTGCCCCAGCAGCTGCTGGGGTGGTTAATTAGAGGGAGGAGCTTAAGGAGCGTTAATTTGGAGTCGGCTAATGAGGAGAATGAGGAGACGCTGTCTGGGGAATGAGTCTCTGTGGGGGAGGGGGAAAGAGCCGAGCGCTGGCGGAAATACCCGAGTGCTGTGGTGGTGAGCGGGGCCGACGGAGCCGAAAGGTGACGGAAATGCCCGAGTGCTGCAGGGGGCGGGGCTTGGGAAACCGAACGGCAACGGAAATGCCCGATTGTGGTGATGGTGGGCGGGGCTGAGGGAGCCGAAAGAGGACGAAAATGACCGAGTGCGGCGGTGGGCGGGGCCGAGGGAGCCGAAAGGTGACGGAAATACCCGAGTGAAGCTGAGGGACGCGCGGAAAGAGCTGCAAACACCCGATTGGCGGAGGAGAGAGCCGAAAAGCCATCAAGACAATTAATTGATGGCTCCGAACCCTTCCGAGCGGTGCCGAGAATTGCCGAATGAATTCGGGTGGAATTCTTAAAAAAAAAACTCCAAAACTCCCCCGGGGGTTCCCCTCACGGCCTCACCCGCCAGGGGGCGCCCCAAGCCCCCCATGTATTTTCCCGCCTTTTCCTCCTCCCTCAGCGCTCGCGCCCCGCCCCTTTCCCGGCATGCCCTGCGCGCTATTTAAGCGCCCGTGAGGGAGCGCGCCGGCCATTTTGTCCCAGCAGCGGTCGGGAGAGGTTTGTTCCAATTCCTTTCGCTCCGTGGCCTGAGGGGGCATGTGGGGGGTTCAGGGGGGTGCGGCGCCCTCCATAACCGCCTTCCCTCTCCCGTGGCTCAGGGGGAGCAGCCTGGAGCCCCCTCAGCGCCGTTCCCCTCCTCACGGTGCAGTCACTGTCCGTCCCTGAGGGGTTCCGTGAGGGGTCCGCGCCTTCCCCAGGGGCTGCTCGGGGATGAGTTTCTCACAGACCTGTGCTGATGGCGCGGTGAAGAGTTTAAAGTTCTCTGAGGGCTCGTCCTGCCCCGGCCTGGGAGTTGGCTGCCCCACGTTCGCAATACTTTGTGACTCTAACACTTTTTTTTTTTGTTTAATTTTTAGTATTTCTGCCCGCGAAATAATGCTTCTGCCCGTGGTGAGTAATTTTGGGTTTAATAAGCGGGATTTTAGGGCAGCAGTGCTGCGGGGATGATCACCCTGAACTCTCTCTTGCTGATGGGTCAGTGGAGAAGCTTCTGGAACAATCTGAGTGGCACTGACCCCACAGGGGCTCCGGATCCCTTTTTGGGGGGGTTTGGGACCCTCAGAGGGGCTCAGACCCACGTGGTGGGGGGGGGTTTAACCCTTTGTGGAGCTTAAACCACGTGAGGAGGTTCAGGTCTTTGTTCAGGGCTTCAAACCCTCGGGGAGTTTAAATTTAAAGTTTTTATAAAGGCTTTGTTAAAATCTTCATTTTAATAGCATTTTTTCTTGTTTTAAAGGTATGCGCCATGGGGGCTGAGGTGAGTGAGGGGATTTGGGGTTTGGGGAGGGGATTTTGGGGGTTTGATGAGGGGGGTTGTGACAATTGGATTTTTAGGGAGTGGGGAGGTGATTTTGGGGTTTTAAGTGGGGATTTTGGGGGTTTTTTGGGGTCCCCCTGCCGAGGATGAGGCGATACCGCCCCAGACTGAGCCCTGTGACTGAACGGTTCCCCCTGAGGCTCTGAGGGGACCCCGGGGGGGTTTGGGGGGGTCACAAATCGAGATTTTTGGGGTCTCTGTAACTTTAAAGGAGGATCTTGGGTTGTGGATGGATTTTGGGGGATTTTACAGGAGTTTCAAGACTTAATTTCTTTTTTAATTTCTTTTTCCAGCTCTTGGCTCATGGAATCCTCATCCGTGGGTTCCCCGGGGCCCCTCCCCAGGTGAGCCCCCCCTTTTTTTTGGGTAAAAACGTGGAATTTCCTCTTCACTAAGAGCCCCCCGAGGTGCAGATTTCGGGGTCCCCCCCCGTTCCTGGCTGTTCAGTGAGGAGTGACAATGACAAGCATATGGCTGAGGGTCCCTGATGCCACCAGACCCTGCTGAGAGCAGCTGGGGGGGCCCGCAATTAACTAATTAATTGAAACTTAATGAATTAAATACCGTTAATTTGGACTTTGCAGTGGGAGAAGCCTCAGCCCAGGGTGAGCATGAAGTGACCACAGAGACCCCAGCTCAGGTGAGAGCCCCCCTGAGCCCCCCAAATTCCCCCAATTCTCAGCAATGACACTGTGATTTAGCAATTAACTAGTTAATAGCAGTTTAATTAAATTAAAATTATTAATTTGTATTTTTCAGTGGGAGATGCCTCAGATTGGGGTGACGTTTGGACCACCATGACTCCCCCTCAGGTCAGAGCCCCCCTGAATCCCCCAAATTCTCCCCAGTCCCCAGCAATGACACTGGAGTTCAGTAATTAACAAATTCATAGTAATTTACTAAATTTAATTAATTAATTTGTATTTTTCAGTGGGAGATGTGTCATCCTGGGGTGACCCTTGGACCACCATGACCCCATCTCAGGTCAGAGCCCCCCTGAGCCCCCCAAATTCCCCCCAATCCCCAACAATGACACTGGGGTTCAGTAATTAACAAATTAATAGAAATTTGTTAAATTTAAATAATTAATTTGTATTTTTCAGTGGGAGATGTCTCATCCTGGGGTGACCCTTGGACCATCATGACCCCAACTCAGGTCAGAGCCCCCCTGAGCCCCCCAAATTCCTCCCAAACCCCAGCAATGACACTGTAATTCAGCTATTAATTGATATAAATTTATTAAAATAATTAATTTGTATTTTTCAGTGGGAGAAGGCTCAGCCTGGGGTGACCCTTGGAGCACCGTGACCCCCCCTCAGGTCAGAGCCCCCCTGAGCCCCCCAAATTCCTCCCAAACCCCAGCAATGACACTGTAATTCAGCTATTAATTGATATAAATTTATTAAAATAATTAATTTGTATTTTTCAGTGGGAGAAGGCTCAGCCTGGGGTGACCCTTGGAGCACCGTGACCCCCCCTCAGGTCAGAGCCCCCCTGAGCCCCCCAAATTCCTCCCTAATCCCCAGCAATGACACTGGAGTTGAGGAATTAACAAATTAATAGAAATTTATTAAATTTAAATAATTAATTTGTATTTTTCAGTGGGAGATGCCTCATTATGGGGTGACCCTT